ATATAATCTGTAAATTCCATGAGATAGCTCCGTTTCATTGTATTCTTTGTTTCATTTTTCAGGGTAAGTTTTCATGTTTATTTGTTGTAATGACCTTAATTAATAAAAATGCTACTTAAGAGTAGACTTCCTTTTTTTTTTTTTTTTTTTGTACGGGGGATTGAACCCGGCAAGTCTTTGTGCTTGCAAGGCAGGCCACCAAACCGCTGAGCTAAATCCCCGGCCCAAGAGTAGACTTCTTAAGGAATGACACTTTACACCAACATTATCCCAAAAAATCAATTAATCAAACATGATTAATTTTAATGTAATTACTAAAGAAAGATATTCCATTTTATTATGACACTCTAACCATACATTTTCAAAATATGCTTATGAGACAGTAAGTGTGAGATAATGATTCAGTTAGTTACGTTTTTAGAAGACATTAGGGCTGATATTTCTCTGTCATAGATACATTGAATAATAATTTCAAATACAATCAGAAATAATTTAGTAAAAATATGCTTTCAAACTCAGACGGATACGATGAATGACCAATCATTATTTTCTGGTTTCAAAGTAGCAGGGAAAATTAATTCAGTGTCTGTAGGTTTATTTATCACATTTGGCCTATAAGTGTGATAAAAATACACGCAGCAAAATACATGATGTAATCCAAATTCTCACAGTTCATTAACTCTCTTAGCAAAAAAAAAAAAAAAAAAAAAAAAAAAAGGAGAGATCTGATGTGGTATTTGGGGCTTTTATGTCAACTGGATATAAACAGCCTGATGTTTGAACATTTTTGATACCTTAAATAGTCGTTTTAATGATACGTAGACACAGAGAAGGGATGCCATCGACGGCTTGAGATTTCAGAGTCCCCTCCTGCAGTGCCCTTAGCAGCAGGTACAGGATAAATATCCAAACACTATTAGATTAAGAGATCCACAGCAGAGTCTTTACTATCCTAGGTGGGTGGGGTCGGTGGGTGCTTCGGAAGGGATTTTAGAGTCCTGTTTTCATTTTTCCTACTTTACATCAGTGCATTTTGGGCAAAAGAAAATGAGTAATGTTTGCTTTCCGGCCTAGCAATTTAAACAAGGGCAAAAACCTAAGGATTGTGAAAGGTCACCCTGAAGGTGGGTCAGCCTGGAGTTTTAAGTAAAAGAAACTATTTCCATCTTAACTCGTATTTCAGTTGGGCAGGAACAGTTAGACTTTTGTGTTCTCTCTCTCTCTTTTTCCCTGTGGGAGAGTTCACATCCCTGACAGTTGAAAAATAGGGAGAGAAAAGGACCATATTTGAGAGCAGTGTAATCAGGGAACATGTGAAATGTGTGTTTTTAAAGAGGTCCCTTTGATTCTAGGGTTTTGGCATAGGGATGTCTATACATTGCGGGCACAGATTCTGAAACAAACAAACAAAAAAACCAATGAGAGGAGAAAAGGTGGTTTCAAAAATCCCCTGGGCCTCTGACTTATCTGTGAGAGTTTTCCTTTTAAAAAATGTGTGTGGGGGTGGGGTGGGGAATTATTCTATAGACAGACTATTACTTAAGTTGGTATCTTTATCCTGCACCATATGCATTTAAAGCTTCCATCTTTTTTCAAAATCTCCTTTTTCTTTTAAATAGAAACCACACAAAAAGAACAATATCTATGTATCAATTTCTAATAACAGGAAAATCTTATAGAATATCAAAAGAGCAATAAGCAAATAGGTACTATAGGATTAAACACTAGCATTGAAAACAAAAACATAAACCCAAGAATCTACAAAATGTTTCTTTTGTTTTTGTCCCCTCTGACCCTGGACTTTATGGTCAATGAAGGGGAGGGGAACAGTGACTCATATTCTACTGTACTTTAAAGTGAATGATGCCAAAAGGTAAATCAGATTTTGTATTTTTTTTGAAAACATGGCTGGGAGAGCCCGTGAGATTAGCATGGAAATGCACTTTCATATGAGAAGAGCCAAACAGGTTCTACTCTAATAAATTAGGACAATCTTTTAAGATTAAAAATAGCAAAACATTTTAAATAGTCTGATTCAGTAAGTCAAACATACATTCCTGTCTAGCCTATAGTTTAAAAGCCTACATGGGTTTAACTTATCATCCTTTATTCCAATATGAAAAAAAAATGAAGAAAAAGACCAAGTCATTTCTGAACATTGAGATATTCATAAAGGCTGTATAAAGTAAAAAACAAAAACACAAAAATCTTCACAGATTATTAGCCATCTCTTTCCACAGTTTCTCACAAATTCTTCTCTTCCATGATCAGTAGATAAGTCCCTCTCAGGAGGCAAACTCCCCATCCTTCCCCAGTGGGTCAGTGATTGCTTTCTGGGTGCCACTGCTCTTTGCAATGTTAGGGAGCAGGGAGGCTGTCGACGCCAAAGCCTTCCCAAGGAGGACGAGGCAGGAGCTATTTTTAGGAGTAAGTGAATTGAAGTATTTTTCTCTTGTTTCTATTTTCTGTGCTCGCCTGACTATCTGTTGTAAAGCAAAGCACACACACACACACACACACACACACACACACACACAAATCAAGAAGCAACAGAAGCTTCCTTTTTAGATTTGCCATTTGCCTATAAGATCTTTTTCCTTTTATTTACACTCATACTCTTCATCTATGTCTTCAGACTGGATAATACATTGCTAATTTTGCTGAGTTTGAGAGCCAACAAAATAGTGGAGCCTTTCACCTTTTCTAATTTTCCATCTTCTCTCTCTGTACCCCAAACTCACAATACTTAGAAGTGACAACAAGTTGAAAGGTGGTGGAGACCTAATGCTATTTTATTAAGCCATCTAACTATAGAATTGTTGTTTTCATACTTTAAAAAAATATGTCTATGCTTTCTTTTTTTCTTTTTTTAGTCAAGTACTTTCTTAAAGAAACAATAGCACCACATTGGCATAGCTGGCCAAACAATAAATGGGAAAGCACAATATGCTACAACTCTCTTTCTCAGTCTTTTCTCAAGTACACAAGCCAGTAACAGAAACCCTGGAGCCACAGATCACCTGACAGTTTCACTTATAGGACATGGACTTTCCAAGGAGGGAGGGGAACGAAGGGAGGACAGACAGGCTTTTCTGGTTTTTCGTTTTTAATAAAACTTTCAAGGAAGGGGTTTCTCAATATTTGGTTGGACGGTGTGTGTGTGTGTGGGGGGGTAATAGAGTGGTATTGGGTTTTTCTTTCACCCTAAAAGGCTGGAATCTGACACAGAGCTGAATTAACGTTTTCAGTGGAACTGCTTCATCTAAAAATGTTTAAATAGTAATTTGTAGTATTTGGGGAAGAAGAACCAAAATCTAACCTAGGCATGGAGTAATGTCCGTTAAATTGGAAAAAAGCCTATTAGCTGAAAGTTCATTCTTACCAATATTTACAATTCTGACACAAACATCTTCTAGTTACCACATTTCTAGATGCTAAAGCAATCTGCCTTCATAGGGAAGGTTATAAGATTTTGAGTTGTGAAACTTTAGGTGCTCCCTTCCTCTGATTAATTCCCGTCCACTCTACTGCAGTACACAGAAATCAGTTGGCCCCCAGGTTTTACATTGATTTAATCTTCTAGTGTTAATTCACTTGGGAGTAAAATGTTGGGCTAGTTGATTGATTGATTGAGAAAGGGTCTCACTAAGTTGCTTTGTTGCCCAGGCTGGACTTGAACTCATGATCCTCCTGAGTTAGCCTCCCAGTGTGCTGGGATTACAGGCTTAAGCCACCATACATAGCCAGTACAATTAATTTTTTATTAGCTGATTTACAATTCCATTGGAGAGGATTATGTGTTGGAAAAAGTCAAAAAAATGACAAGGCATTGTATATTTAAGCTTTTCTCATTGGAAGTTTCTGACTGTTCTTAGAATTAAATGAACAGTATAAGTCATAGACACTCTTAAAATGACCACATCCAACCATGGCAGGAACCCCAGAAATCTGCAGAGGACTCCCGGTAGAGTGTTTTGGGAGTTGGCAGTTGTAAAAGGTGCACACTAGGAACCAGAAGTAAAAGTCCCAGGTGTCATCTTGGGGAGGAGGCCAGCACGTGGTTCTGCAGAGCCCACAGTCTGGAGTACGAGCCGGGTGGGGGGATCCCTCCCGTTTCTTCTCCCCATCTCCCAAGCGGTCAGAACCCTGCAGAGTTGCCAAGCGGCACTGCTCCAAGAGCCCTGGGGACAGAGCGGCCCGGGCTGTGGAAGGGACAGGCCAGGCAGGCTCCCCTGAACAGCACCTTCCCCTCTGCCAGAGCCAGCAAAGCTGTATTCTCTTCCTGGCCTCTGAACCGTGAGATGAGCCAGGGGAAGATGAGCACAGACCACATCTTTTCTGTTTCTCATGTACACTTGAAACAGTAGAGAGCACACAGTTTGTGCGAGGTTATCCAACCTGCTGAGTTTTTTACCAAAAGGTCTAAGGCAAATGAAAGATCTGAATGCTGGATGATTCATTGTTCTATAAAGAAATTTTGATCCAGAGACTGGAAGCAGTTTCTAGGATCTCATGGATGGCCTGGTCCTCATGCCGACATTTTTGGGCGCCAATGGTTATGGTTAAACGTCTAAAACCCAGCCGCGAGAGCTGGACAAACAGGAGGGGAAATTTCAAGGTTGAGATCAAAATTTTTGCCTCTCAACTAGCAACTCTACTTAGCATATTTTAACAAAATTAAAAAATATATATATATATTTGTATACAACCAAGGATAAGAAAATGAAGGAAATTTTATTTGTGACTTTTTTATTAGATATTGTTTCAATATTTAAAATTTTGAGCCATTTTTCTTATATTGTTTAAAGAGAAGGAAAATGTCTTTTTTCAAAATGGATAGAGTGTGCTTTATAAGATTAAAAGAGGTGTTACTAGACTGACTGTAACTTTCTGGAAGAATCAGTGAGCTAACAGTAATCAATTTCCCTTTGCCTGGTGGAAAACATTTTGTTTCTCTACTTGTTTTACTTTTCCTTTCTCTCTTTTCACTTAGCTTTCTATTCCTAGGTTCAAAGGTAGAATTCAAAACCAAACATTAAATCCAACGTTTCTGACATTTTGCAAAGTGTATTGAAAGAGATGGAGCTGTTAGCCTCTAAAGCCCTGTTGGTTGGTTGGGTGGGAACTGGGCTGTGGGGATCACTGTTAAGTCTCCAGCTGTGGGGGGGTCGTTGGTAGAATTCCTCGCGTCCCGGCATTTCCGAGGCTCATGGAAAGCCGGATAAAGATTGAAGCGTTATCTTGTTAATCCTCATACCACCCATTTGAGGTAGGTAGATGACTATTGCCCCGATTTTTCGGATGAGGAAACAGGCAGAGAGGTAAAGGACTTGCCCAAGGTCCCGCAGCGGTGAGTCCGTGGCAGAGCCAGTAGGTATTTGTTTCTTCAGTGAGAAAAAGAAACCAGGTCTTAAAATTCCTGGGCTTCTTAGTCTTTGCATTCCACAGCTTCCTGTGGCTTGCTGGTTCAGGCCTGGTCAGTGGACTCCCGCATCTAAAGCTCCCCAGAAGGGTACTTGGGTAGTCTGTGCTCTTCCCCAAGAGATGGGACTGTCTCCCCCTCCTCCCCCCTGCGCCATCTTTGGCTCCAGGCTTCCCTCCTGCCTTGCTTTCACCTTTTACCGTTTTGGCCAGGCTCTTTCATATAACAAACTACAAAATAGCACCATTGTACTAAAAAAAAAAAAAAAAAAGAGTTTTACCTATGGTTTGATATCCTGTATTACTGATACACTAAATTTACATAGTGCTTTATATGGAAAAAATAAAGTGGGAAGGATAACCCAGTTGCACACTAACTCATCCTTTGAAGGGAGCATTGAGGGTGTAAGAGACTTTCTCTGTTTGGAACATACACCTAAAAATGATTGGCCTCGAAGTTGTAACTATTTTGCCTGAAAAAAAATTTTTTTGTGTGAAAATAAATGGGAAAATGAAAGCTTTGTGTCTAAAATAAGTGCATCAACCTGTATTTGGTACAAATGCTACACATAGTCTTGTGGATGAAAGATTCGTGGGTGACTTGCCTACTAGGTAGTGCTTCTGGGGAGGCCAAACTTGCCAACCTACCAATGTTAGGAAGGGGCTGTGGAGATGGGTGAGGATTATTAGACACGGAAGACCAACAGTCTGTGTGATGCAGAGGGAGTGCAAATAAGAAAACAATTCAGAAACCACCTAGATTGATTGCTGAACTCGTTCCAGCAGCCAAGATTTAGAGAGGAATTTAGTGCAGCTGGATCTGTGTGACACTGTGCCCTGTGGTTCTTGTGAGGCAGGGACTAAGATCGATACTTTTTTTCCCTCTATAGATCATTACTGATAAAGAATCACCAGGCGCCTACCAGCTGCAAGACTGTTTTGTTTTGTTTTTTGCAAGTGCAAAGCTTTTAACCATCACTCCTAAAGACAATGTTGGAATGTTTACTTGTATATTTCACTGGGGGGAAATGCCCATCTTTGAAACATTATAAAACTTATTTTTCGGGAGGCGTTCCAATGTCTTAACAGGCGACTCGCTCGGAGCAGTGGACGCTGCGGTGACAAGTCCTCCTTCAGGTCCAGCAGGGTCTTCCTACATCCTGTAGTTCTTGTTTCCTGAACTCCCCCTACTTGCGTTCTTCAAATGTACTTCCTATAAATCAGAGGGGAGGGAAAGAGACATTAACTGGATGCGGTTTTATTGCTCTACAAAATATTGGTCTTTTAAAAATAGCGCAATGTATGGGTCATCGTGTAACAGGCAATTCAACACGTGTGTACAGCAGCTAATGATCAAAACAGGGTAATTAGGGTTTCCATAGCCTTCACATGTGGTATTCTTTGTGTTGCGAACCTTCAAACCGCCTTGGAGCTCTTCATGAAATACGTAAGAAATCGCTAGAAGCTGCAGTCGTGCTGCTGTGCCATGCGAGACGAGCACTTATTCCTCCCGTCTGGCTGCAGCCATCACTTTGTAACACCGAGTCTCAGACTTCTAGCGTTCAAACTAAGAGAGGGCTTTGGGCCTTGGGTTTTCTGAGTAAGATGTGCCGAGGTGGATAGGCCTTTGGTTAGCACTTCAGGAAAATCTCACAGGGACAATATCTCTGTGCCCCTGGATATTACAGATTTATCATGGTCCAAAGAAGAGTTTCCACCCCTCTGTCTCATTCATACCCAGCAGACTCTTTCACAGGAAAGGGGGATGCTGAAAATCCCTGCCACTGGGCCTGTAGCCATGTTTCCTAGTAAGAAAAAGGATCCTGACATCATTCTCCAGTCTCTCTTTGTCTTTGACGGGATATTTCTGTGTAGTCTAATCTGGCTTCAAACTCACAATCCTTCTGCCTCAACTCCAGAGTGCTGAGATTACAGGAGTGCCCCACTCTGCCCAATTTATCCTCTCTCTCTTTTTTTTTTTTTTTT